TCTCCATCCCTTCCTATTAGTGGTTCTTCAGGCAAATCTGACGTTGTTTCACGTTCATCATAAGGCAGCTCTGTAGTAGTGCTACTGCCCTTTATAAAGTTAAAGCTACCAATTTCGTTTCTGAGTTTTGTCGGTTTTTCTCTCAAACTCTTCATCCTATTAGCCACGGCAATATTCTTGTATGCCACCGGGAGACATGAGAGAACTCCTGCCATCTGCAAGAATTTTATTTCTTTCTCAGTTGGAACCTGGACTGAGCAAAGAGGCCTAACAAACTATATCGAACTAGAAACTAAAATAGGAACATGCTAGATGCTTCAAATCTCCTATAAAGAAGAATCAGCCATAATATCCCTACATACTATCATATACACAATAAGAATTACTGTTTTGGCATGACAGACGCGTCTCTAAGGAGACTAAAAGTTTCTTCCGACGAGATCAATGGAAGTTTAACCAATCGATTAGCTTCTCCAGAGAATTAATCTTATCTATTCTTTGTGCAGGGTCAATCGGCGGCATCAAACGATGTACCTCAAGACCCACCGCAGCAGTCGCCGTGGTCTCATTGGTGATTTGCTTCTTTTCATGTGTTGAACTTATTCCTTGTGTTGCACTTATGCTTGTAATGCACTTGTGGTGGATACTTTAAACTCGAACCTTATGTTGGTATTGTGGTATGACATTTGTGTACCATTGTGGATTATTGTGACATATGTGATGTGGTGTGTGGAGATGATATATATATGATATATATGTGCTGTGAAACATATCTGTGTTTGTGATATATATATATGTGCTGTGAAATGTAATGCAAAAAAAATCAGATTTACGAGGATTTGCGAGTGTTATGACCAAGACACTCGGCAAAGAAACAATAATTGCTTAAAGTGTTATTACTAAGAAACTCGGCGAAAAGCTATTTTAAAAAACCAAATACTGTTTGAAAAATATTTACCGAGTGTCTTACTGATTGCCACACTCGGCATATGTTTATTAGTTGCCGAGAGCAACACTTTCGGCGAAAAGGATTTTAAAAACCCAAATACTGTTTGAAAAATATTTGCCGAGTATCTTACGGTCGACACTCGGCATATATTTATCATTTGCCGAAAGCGCAAGACACTTTCGGCGAAAAGGAATTCTAAAACCAAAAAATATTTTTATAAAACTATTTGCCGAAGTGCCTTGCCGTTTGACACTCGTGAAGTAACTGATTAACGGCGGGTCCGGCGTTACGACCGTTACTTTCGCCGAGAGCTAAACTGCACACGGCAAAATGTTTGCCGAGTGCCCGATAAATGGCACTTTCGCAAAGTTAACTTTGCCGGTACTATTTATGGCGAGTGCTATTCGCCGAGTGTGGCACTCGGCGAACTATTTGCCGAGTGTTTTACGTAGTTTGCCGAGTGTTTCGGGCACTCGGCAAACGCACGGAGTCCGGTAGTGGTAGGAGTATACATAGGCGCATTACTCTTACGTACTTGTTGCAATTTTCAAGTCTCTAAGTGCTTCTACTCCTAGGATAAGCCGTAGGCAGGCGTGCATCGTGTCTCTTTTTGTTTGTGTCAGCCGACGGAGAAGCCCTAGATTGGAAGTTAGCATGGGACGACCTTGAATGTCCAGGAGGGTACGTTGTTTCTTCTTCGTTGGTGTGCCGCCGCCAGCCGGACAAACACGGACTGAGCACCACTAGCCCCAAAGACACTTGCATCCTGTAGACTGATGACCTGCATGCGCTAGGGCTACGTATGCCTTGCGCCGAGCGATCGCATGCCTGCCGATGGATGGCCTATAAATACTAGTTATGGCCGATACACCTTCAATCACAAACACACATAGTTGAGAAGAAAACACACACACATATATCCATCATCCACAGCTTAGCTACTAGCGATGGCGTCCAACAACAAGTCCGTTGTATTCCCTGCGCTTCTGTTCCTAGCCGTGGCACTCGTGTTGACGGCGGCTTCAGTGCGGGCGCAGTCACCGGCTCCACCGCCACCATCCCAAAACCCGTGAACTTCCGGATTCACAAACTCCACTACCACTACTGGAAACTCAAATTGCCCTATGGGTGACGGATTTTACTGCGCGTTTTTTCGGTAAGCACAGAAAAATTATGATTATTCTGTCGGTTCCAGAATATCCCAACAGAAAAATATGAAAATCCACAGAATAATTGTATGATTTTTCTATGCGTGATAGTACACACATGGAAAAATCAGCACTCACAGAAAAATACAATTTATTCTGTCGGTTCTTTAAAAACACACATGAAAAAATATATATACGCATAAGATAAATAAAAAAACAAAGAAGTCCTAACCCTAACCCGCCGGCCGCCGCCTCCAAACACCCTCGCACGCACGCACTCGCGGACTCGCCTGCTCGGCTCTCCTCACGCACCCACGACACGCACGCATTGTTGCCATCGCCGCCTACGCTTGCCGCGCACGCCCGCCTTCTTCTTCTTCCCAGGCGGCCGCCCATCCCCTCCCCCTTCTTCACCCGGCAACAGCGCCCCTCCTCCCCCCGCCGGCGCCCCGCCCTTCCTCCTTCTTCATCCCCGGCGGGCGGCCGCCCCTCCCCTCCCCCTTCTTCACCCGGCCGGATCCGACCCTCCCTCTCCCGGATCTGGCCGGTGGCTACGGTGGTGGTGGTGGGCCGGCCGGGCGGCAGTGGCGGCAGCCCTCCCTCCCCTTCTTCTCCCCATGGCGCCCCTCCACTCCCCTTCTTCTTCCCGGTGGTGCCCCCCCCCTCCCCTTCTTCACACTGGCCAGATCCGGCCCTCCCTCTCCCGGATCCGCCGGTGGCGTGCGGCCCGCGCCTCCCCTCCTCCCACCGGCGGCTGGTCCCTCCTCCTCCCTCCGTGGTCGGCCCCACCCCTCCCTCTCTTCCTCGGCCCCTCCCTCACCGGCGGCGCCCCTCCCCGGCATCTGCCACCGCGCCCCTCCCCTCCCTCACCGGCGGCACCCCTCCCCGGATCCGCCGCCCGCCCTCCCTCCCTCACCGACGGCGTCCCTCCCGGATCTGCCACCCCGACCCTCCCCTCCCTCACCGGTGGCGCCCTCCCCTGGATCCGCTGCCCCCTCCCTCCCCTCCCTCACCGGCGGCGCCCCTCCCCCGGATCCGCAAGGAGGCCCGAGCGCGAGGCGTGGGCGTGGTGGCGGTGGGCTGGTGGGTGCATGAGGGCACGGCCGAGTGTGCACGGCGTGAGCAGTAGTCTTCGGTGGTGCGTGGGGCCGCAGGCCGCGGTGGCTGCTAGATGCAAGGAGGCTGAGACATCGCTTGGGGAAGCAGGGCGCGGGCGGCAGCAGGCTGCGGCGGCGCGTGGGGTCGTTGGGTGTACCGCCAGCGGGCCAAGAACGCTCAGATATCCTACATCAAGAACGCCGCCGTCTCCCCTGTGTCTCGCTCGTCTTCTCCGCTCCGTCCCGGCCGCCAAGAATGCCTCCACCGACAACCTCCTGGCTGGCTTCGTCCCCGGTGACCGCTCTCTCCCCGGCCACAGAGAAGGTCGTGACCGACGACTCCATCCCCCGCAGCCAGGTGATTTCTCTTCTCTTTCAGTTTCCTCCTATCCTCTGCCATGTCGACTGATGCTTGCTTGTTCATTTATTCCCTAGATTCCCAAGGTGAAAATCTGTTCTTTGGGTGTGCAGGACCACAGATCCGCTTCCCCTCATTCTTTTCCCCATGATTTGCTCAATGTCTGGCTTCCAAGTGCTCCTGTTGTGGTAAAAGAAAATGAATAGATCCCCTCGTTTCCTCTCTCACTAGAAGTCAACATTGCATACTTGTCAATGATACCACGTCAGTTAATTTGAGCATACTTGTTACTACCAATGATGTTTTGGAAAAGCTATGCTGCGATGATTATTTGCTTCCTTTTCAACTAAGGCATGGGAATTATATTGTGATTCTTATTTACTTTCTTATTTGCTGAGGCTTTGGGAATTATGCTATGATGAATTACATTTTCCCTATAAATGAGGCTTTGTGCATATGCAGTGGGCTGAGGCTTTCTTATTTGCTGAGGTTCATTTGTTCTTTTCTTTGGCTGCTATTTTTGGCTCAGATTTCAGAACTGTTGCTATGTGGTTTCACTTCTCCACGTAGCTGCTCAATCCATTTGATTGCATCGACAAAACTGAGTGAGGAGTAAGAATCACAAGGTCCTTGATTTAGAGGTTTGTGACTTGCTTCATGCCACATTTGTAACAACGAATTTTTTAGTGCATAGTATACAGATTGCTATGTTCAGAAAATTTAGATTCATGTCATACTTAAAATTTATTCACTATTTTGTTGGATGATATGCTACGCTTGATAAAATTATTCTTTTGGCAATACGGTGACCAGCTGCTACCTCTGACAAAAATGGCAGTGGAAAATCTAATCAACGGTTCCTGCCTTTCATTTTCACCTTCTAATTGATATTTCAATGCTTCATCGCATTACTGCTTCTATTGAGATATTTTGCTATTTTTCATATGGATCAATTTTTACAGGAATCTCTTTACAGGAAATTATAATAGTTCAGTTTCGGTGTCCATGGGTATGTTGTGATGTTGGACCTATCTATTTTTTTTATACCTGGTGCTTTTTGTGCTCTCCTAGGCTGGGAAAATACTATAGTTCAAATCTACAGTCCCTCTCATCGAGCGCTACCTTTGGGTTCTTTAGGTTCAAAATTCTAATGTCCTTCTTTACAGACAATACTTAGTGTACCTGCCGTCTGAAACTTGGTTGTTTTTCCACATTTCAATTATTGATTTTTTGGCTTCCAAAGTGCCTGTTCTGTTTGTTTTCTCATGCAGACTTTAGGCTGAGTGCAATATGTTCTATATTTTTACCTTCTCCTTACATGTCTACATTTGAATTTTTCCTCTTGCCGATTTTGATCACCTCATGCCGATTCTGATCACCTCATGTTCTATAGTTCAGTTTCAGGGCAGTTTGGCACACACCCCTCCCTCTTGCCGATTCTGATCACCTCATCTTTCTGGTAACACATGTTTGTAGTTGTAGGTCTTACTGGGCCACAGCTCCACCGCGATGGGGTTGCTATCACCATGGGGCTGGAAGCTTTTACATTCACAGACAGTGGTTGGCACGGCCGGGAATAAGGAGGCGGCGGCGACAGCGGTAGTGGTGTCATGCAGCGTCCTGCACGGGTAGAGCAGCTCCGGGTGGAAGAACCACTTCACGGGCATCTCCCTCGGGGAGGCGGTGGCCGCAGGGCGAGGGGCAAGCATGTGGAGAAGCCTCTCCTCCCGCTTCTCCCTGATCCTCTCCAGCTCCCTCAACCTCTGCTGCAGCCGGGCAATGGAGGAGAACATCACCTGGCCTTCGCTGCTCTGCACCCCCATGATTACTAAGGAGAGGGAAACTGAAGTAGTGAAATTCATGAACTGCTGAGATGAGATGGTAATGCTTTTGAATCTATTGATGCTGGAACATTTGGACATCATCTACACGTAGCCTGGATGTTATGAATGAATGTGTTGAACATTTGGACTCTATCTTTATATGTTGTGATGAAATTACTGTATGGACAGTGTATATTTTAATATGCTGTTGCTACTATTTTCAAATAATTATTGTATCCAATTTGCTGCATGGTTAAGTGTATATTGTTCTGTCGGTGGTCTGTTAACACCTGACAGAAAAATACAATTTTTGTGTGCGTTCACCTAACCCGACAGAAAAATACATTTTTTTTCCTGTGAGTGCACCTCTGCAACTCTGACGGGACAACACTAACAGAAAAATGATTTTTCTGTCGGGTTTTTATTTTTTCTGTGAGGAATAATGCACATAAATTTTATTTTTAATCTGGCCGAACACAATTTTTCTGTGCGTGTAACACCCACAGAAAAATTGTTTCTGATGGCGAACACACAGAACAATTGAATTTTTCTGCCACTATATTTCTATGTGTATTTTTCTGAGTTTCTGACGGTATTCGCATTTTTCTGTGTATTTTCGCACACACAGAAGAATGCGAGTTTCCAGTAGTGTACGTTCTTTTCAAGCCCTGGGCACTTACCTTTTACGCGGCATCTCGTTGATACTCGTCCTTAACCCGGTTGCCCCAGGCACGAGCACCACATTCTGCTATTGCTATCCCACTACCAACATCACCATTGGCCCCGTTGTCGTGCCCAACACCAATGGCCCCCTCGCATGCGTGCAACGCCCAATATGATGCGCACACAGAATTCAGCACGCTGGCACGAACCCAGGGCACAAATGTGTGCATATGCGCACCTAGATATTTACTCCTACTATATATATGTACACTACGTACTACGTATACGAATAACCTACTCCCGTCTGTGTGTGCATATATGCGTTGCGTGTATGCGGAGACTAATTCACATGTTACTCTACACAGTGGCATGTAAGAGGAGTTGGCCCACAACCTACTATATATTATATAAGACAGATGATGTAATGTGTGTCGTGTTCGTGTTGTTGTAAGTGTGCTCAAAATACCAAATATATATATACTGGAACCATATTAATTAAATGTTCTCCTTATATTACTCCTACTATTATTAAGTATATTCCGCGCTACTACATGTCTTGCACAGTTTCTACACATTAAGTATATATCGCGCTACTGTGCAAGACACGTAGTAGCACGATATATTGTTTTCTAGCTGGCTATATATAGATTAACTTATTCTATGACCACTTTAAGTTACGATACCGACTGTACTAATTTACGAGGTTACTGTAACTTCTCCTAAATGATCTACTATAAGATTACGGTCAATATCATCATGAGTTATAGCAACACATGTATCATAAATTAGTACAAATATTATGGTAAACTAAGCTTGTCATAGAATAAGTTATTCTATAACTAGCCACAAATTAGCCTTATCCTATATATATAGACACACACACACATCAAAGTTTTTAACTCAAATGTTGCATTAAGTCCTAACAATTATATTTCTATGGTTTGAGTTACTATACCGACTGTACTAATTTACAAGATTACTGCAACTTCTCCTAAAGTCCTAAGTGGTCTATTACAACATTTGGTAAATATCCTAATTAGTTATAGTAACACATGTATCGTAAATCAGTACAAATATTATCATAAACTGAGCTAGCCATAAAATAAGTTATTCTATGGGACAGCCACAAATTTGCCTTACCTATATATATATATACACACACACACACGTCAAAGTTTTTAACTCATATGTTGCATGAAGTCACCAACACTTATCTTTTTCTTCAGTTCCATCCTAGCAAAATCAACAAGTTCTCAGTACTCTGGCTTTGCTAAATCAGAGGTATCATCAAAATATTTCCATCATAGTGAATAATCTCACACATGATGAACCGGCACATGTCAGTACATATGTTTCTGATGTCTTTATCTTTGAGACCGTGAGTTGGTTCACAATAATAAACCTTCAAAGAAAGATTATAGTCATAATATATTTATAAGTCATCAATGCATCTGCAACATAAATAAAAAAAACTTGATATATCACTATTACTGACTTCGCTCGAGTTCATGGTGTATCACCTGTTTCCCCTAAGATGCACGCACACGTAGTACCCTCAGAGGACCGTTCCTGGTGATTGCTTGTGGCACTATATGACGAAACAAGGGGCTAATTAGTTGCTACATACATATATATTACAAATGTAGGGCATTTATTTAAAATTTACAAGCCAATTGGTATTTACAACCGTCGGTTTCTTTTTCATTTAAATTGTATTGTCCACCCATGAACTTGTACCACATGTATGCACTGACGAGCTAGAATAATCTACCAAAGTCATTTCCAAACTATCATCGCAAATACAGAAATATTCATGTATGTGCATGCGTACCTCAACTATTCTTGTATAAGAGCCAAGAATTTTTCATAGTTGTTTGTCAGGTAATCGGCTGGGTCAAGGACCAGCATCGTTCCATCCTCAGACCAAAACCATTACACAAATGCAGTGGTCAATGCATGTGTTAACACCATAATTCTGTTATTTCGAGCTTATGAATGAAGACTAGGCAAAGGTAGACATACACAAACTTGTAGGGGGCCATTGCACATTGTATGTCTTGAAATTCGAGCGGTGTGTTTCATATGTAGGTCACCACGTGAAGGCCGAGGTATTTTTGTTTGTCATCTTTCATCTTCACAATTTGCACGCTGGTCTTGCCCTAAAGAGAGTGACCTAGTCCAATGCAATCCTCAAAGTGTGCTTGTTCTCGCTTATCCTCATCAGGTTGAGATACCCAATCCTTTTTCTTCTGTTGAGCATACAGGCCATCATCAAACCTCATCTCCTAATCTTCATGTTGCATTCTGCGTAGCACACGCGCATGATAGAGACTCCATGACCTAACCATATATTAATAACACAAAATTGTACGAGTGACACTTACAGGCACCACATCGTCAAGAATTGGACATTGAGTCTTGAGGTGGAACATCAAGTGAATGTCCTCAAAGTCAATGATAACTAGAGGTGGAACCAGCGATTTTGATTAAGGGGGGCCGGACATATATGATGACATCTCTAAGTATGATAAACATATACATAAGTGTACATCTCAGTAATTTTTTAAAATGTTTCTACACATGTACTTAGTATTCATAACAAAAAATCATAATATTGTGATAAAAAGTGAGTGAATTTATGCCTTGATGTGCTACAAATTGGAAATTTTACAAGGGTATTAAAACAAATTCTCCTGCATTGGGGGGCCACAACCCCTGCTAGCCCCCTGGTTCCGCCTCTGATGATAACCTTGCTTGGGCCACTAAATTTTTTTTTGATACACTTGCGATGATCGCATAAATACCAACCGAAGATGCTCTCATGTACTGGTCGTGTAACCTCTTCATTAAAGGCAGAACCTTGTGGAGTTCATGCCAAGCAGATAATGTTCGGGGACATCTTCGTAATCTTCTTTTGTTGGCCTTCTTATGGTCTTCAAGGAGCCGGGCTTGTCGACACGTTGTCAGCTACTAGTTGTTGTCTTTTTACTCTTTGATAATTCGAACATCCACTTCTTCATGTCCACCGATAGTGTCTTCTTATGTGTTGTAACCATTTGGCTTCTAGGCCTTCGTGTTGTTGAGCCACTTTTTTATCGCTTGGGGAGGGTGGATTCTTGGTTGGCGATATATAGTGGGGTGGGTTCTAGCCCTTTAGGTTTCGAGGCTTCTTGCTTCTCGGTAAGGTGATGCCTTCTGAATTGGTGGTGAGGGTGGATTAGGTTCTCGCTCTTCAGGGTATGAGGCGGTCATTGAGGCCCCTTCTTCTTCCAATGATCCGAGAAATGACATCGAAAGAATGGGACCATTCAACCTAATGTCTCATCAAGGCCACGATATGAATTATTGATAACCCATCACCCTGCTCTGCTTGTGGAGTTTCAATGCCGCACCTCTCGTGCCTCCTGGTGGGGGACCACCCCTCCGTGCCCTTTGTTTGCCCTTCCAAAGTCGGGCAGAGTCGCGGCTTCAGGTGGAGGTGACTGGGGAGGCACCGACACGGGGCAGAGTCTATGAACACATTTAAATTCCTAGCTAATTATTCCATGGTAGTCAAGATCATCATTGTTAGTATGTGATGCTATAATTAGTTCTTAGAAGTAGAGTAGAACAGATGTTCTTCATTATTGTACAATAATTGTTTTTTACTACGATTTTCAATTTACAGGGCCAGGGCTACCAATTTCAATTTTTCAATAATTAGTGTACATTAATGTTTTCCAAAAATGGTACTTTCGAGCTACAATTGTTGTTCAAGAAGCTCGATTTCTTATTAATTCTTTGTAATTACTGTCTCAGTATTTTTTTGTGCAGAGATGGATCGAGAGTGGATGCATCTGTCCCGAACGGACAAGCGGTACATGCATGGCGTCAGCCAGTTTATCACCGATGCCAAAGCCCATGTTGGGAATGGGGGGTTCATGCCAAACTATACGATATGAACTATGCATGGTGAGGTTGGTGTGAATGTTCTGCAGGAAAACAATGATGATGTGGACATGCCTGACGTAGCCATCCATGATGCTGACGAGTAACCCGGTGTCAACACGGAACCTATGGCCATAGTTAATAGTGTGTTTAGGAACACGCTAGCTGACGACACCGAGGATAACGATGGCATTTCTCAGCTGCTACGTAATGTAGAGACCGGATGTCTTAGTGAAAGACAACTGAGAAAGCTAGAGAAAATGAGACAAGATGGCAAAACACCATTGTATAGGAATTGTCCAATAAGCAAACTAGAAGCCGACATCATGCTGTTAGAGTTCAAATCGACAAACGGATTGAGCGATAAAGGCTTCGATCAGTTGTTAGGTATAATAAGGAAAATGCTCCTAGAAAAAAATGAGTTGCCAGAAAAGACATACTTGGCCAAGCAAATGATCTGCCCCATCGGCCTCGAGGTTGAAAAATCCCATGCGTGTTCCAATGATTGTATATTGTACCATGGAGAAAAATACAAAGACTTGGACAAGTGGCCCAAGTGTGAAGCTCCATGGTACAAGGAAGGGCCGTCAGATGAGGGTACCAAGACCAGAAGAGGTCCCGTAAAGGTCGTTTGGTATTTCCCTATAGCTCCCCGAGTGCATAGGCTGTTTGCATGTGCAAAGTCAGCCAAGCTGTTGCGCTGGCATGGCGAAGAGCATAGAAGCAATCATAGCACCTGGCCAGTGATGCTCTATATATATAACCTTCCAGCTTGGGTATGTATCAAGCCATCGTACATCCAGATGCCACTACTGATCCAAGGGTCAAGACAACTTGGGAATGACATCGATGTGTTTCTGGAACCAGTGATCGATGAACTAGTGGAGATGTTTGAAAAGGGTGTGTCGGATGTTTGGGACGAGTACAAAAAGGAACATGTCATAATCAAGGGAGTACTTATCGCTACAATCACCGACCTACCAGGTCGAGGTTCGTTGTTCGGAGAGAAGACAAAAGGCTATACTAGATGTGCTACTAGATGTGTCGAGTGCTTGGATGACACCGATGCGGTAAATCTGCCAAATAACTCAAAGATAGTTTATA